GACACTGATGAGGAATAGAGGTGAAATTGACTAGTTCATTTCCCAGGCTGGGAAAGTTCAAACAGTTAACAGCATAAATAGCTGGGGGGGATTAAAATAGAATTTTAAAATGTAAAACAATTAATAATGTAGGGCAGGAATTGTTTTAATGTCTTTTTTTACTCTGACCATGTCCCTTCGAAGATTTATAGGGACATGACTTTAAAGCTTTATCCCCAGTGCTGTTCTGAGCGTGTCCTGCATGCGATAGATGATGCTGTTATGGTGAGAGGAGATGGAGTATTTTAGAACTAGAAGCATGTTGTGGAGATTTAGTTAGATCCAGTCTCTTCCTTTCTGTGCCAGGGGTCCAGCCCGGCAGGGGGCTGTCTGATGGCCATGAGTTGTGACTACAGAATCATGGCAGAGAACCCAAAGTACAGCATTGGACTGAACGAAACGCAGCTGGGTATTGTTGCACCTTTCTGGTAAGGTTACACTGTAATCAGACAAGTGTATTTATGTGGGGGGACGGGAGCAGTGCTGCTATGAAATGTGTATTCAGAGACACCAGAGTCTCTGACAGAACAAAGTTTATTTGTATGGGGGTACCGCATACAGTCCCAGCCCCATTGTGCTGGGTGCTGTACATATATGTAACAGAGAGACAGTCCCTGCCCTTTAGAGCTTACAATGAAAGTATAAGACGAGAGAATGGGTGGCTGCAGGCAGGGGGACCGCAAGGCAACACAGATGATACCAGTCAGTCTGCAAAGCAGCCAGCATGCTTGCCTGACCATTGCTGAGTGGTTTGAAGGTGTCCCAGCAGAGGTGAGTTCTAAAGAGGGATTGGAAGGAGGACAGGGTGGTTACTTAACATCAGCTCTTTGTTTTGCTGTCTCACTGCTTCTCTTTACACTTGCTGGTTGTTCTGTGCTTCCCCCGCCTGAGTGTTTCCTCTCCTCTCTCCTAGGTTTAAGGATACATTGGTGAACACTATTGGAAACCGAGCTACAGAGCGTTCCCTCGAGCTGGGGCTCCTGTACTCCCCGCCTGAGGCCCATAAAATAGGCCTTGTAGATCAGTTAGTACCAGAGGAGAAGATACAGAGCACAGCTGCTGCTGTGATGTCACAGTGGTTAGCTATTCCAGGTAAGAGACTTGCGGCTGCGGGATGCTCCTGTCAAAGAGCAGTGAGCTCGTGGCCAGAGTGTGCTGGTCACCTAGTGTAGCACAGTGAGAGCGATGGAGGGGAATGAGACGCAATCGGAGAGCGAGGCTTAACAGTCCCTAGTTCATCTGCATGTGGTAATGTCAGCAATATTTATCCTAGATTGATTAAAAAGGAGGCAGAATAGTATTGGACCAGATGCTCTAGCAAACCTCTGAGAAACCCTGGGCTGGCAAGGTCCCAGAGGGAAGGTGAACTGCAGAGAGACCCAGGCAATTGGACCATAACAGTTCAGTGAAGCCTCTGGAACCAACTAGAACAGGCCAGCTTGTAAGCATCTATGGGAGAATTCAGTGCCAAACAGCCTGGCATGGTTTGTTTCTAGTGAGCTCAAGGGGCCCCTTGGCTATCTTTGGAGAAGTTACCAAGTTCATGACCAGAGACAGCTCCCACTGAAATGAGTTGTAAAGCTGCTATTGGCTCCCAAGAGATCAGGAATAAAGGCAGTGCAATGAGCATATTCGGGTTGAGATGCCATGGATGGCAGGCCAGCCAGTTCCACCTGGCTAGCATGGGGTTCAGACACGCAGTTTCACACAGCTAATGCTGCTGTAAGGCCAGCATGGAGGGGGAAGAAATTCGAAGCTCGCTGTATGACTTGGCTCGTGTATGAATGGTGGCAATTTTCAGCTCAGCATGCAACGAGCCCGTGTGAGGGGCAAGTGCTGTCCTATCCCTGAAAGCCGTTGGGTGGGATTTAACACAGATCTGAGCATTTGAAACAGAAGGTGCCCAGCCGACGGGAGATGCGCTCTGCATGTGCGTGCTACTCGGGGAATGGACTGAGAGACAAAAACCAAGTCTGGGCCTTCCCAGCTCCTCCCCCCCGACACATTACACCCAGCTCTTATGTATCGTTGGATCTCACATTCCATTCTCAATTCCTTTGCCTTCTAGAACCTTTGTAATCTGGGACTGACAGGCAGGTGTCCAGGATGCTCCCACACATCCTTGGCTTGGGAGCAGGTCCCCAAGCATCTCTTGGGCCCTGCACTCTCATGATGGGAGGATGTCGGGATGCCCATCAGTCCCTGGCCCCTTATTCCAGAGGGGAGCAAGTCACCAGTCCCTTCTTGTCTGGCTTCCTGGAGACTCCAGTGCAGATCTCACAATCCCCACACTAGGGCCCTGACCCAGTACTGGTCCTTGAAATTAATGTGTACTAGAGTATGTGCTACACAGGGGCCATGGTGGGTTATCACCCAGAGGAGCCTCCAGTATATGTGTGGGCAGCTGATCTGTTTCTTTCCCTGATTTGTTCTTGCACAAATACCTGGAAAATGAAATGCGTGTTGCACTAATGCACTCTCTTGTGTTGCACAAGTAAAACAAAAGGCAGACCATGCTAGAATGACAGTGCTTGCTCTGTATAATGCTGCTGGCAGAGCTAACTTGCATTTACTGACTTTAACTGAGCAATCAGACCCTCATGAGAACACTTATTTCATTACAGTCTCTTAATCAATGTGCATTATAGCAATTGGACACTGGTGTGGGAAAGGCAAATGTTTGGTTAGGAATATCCAACACAGCACAAGCAAGTAAATTCTGCTCTGGTGACTGCTCTGCTTTTCAGAGCCAGGTTCACTTCTGCACATCGCTTTTTACAAGAGCTCCATACAAATAGGAGTGGGTTCAGTGGAGAGGAAAGGCTGGAAGAATAATCGCTCTGAGGAAAGCTTTAAAAGCATGTGGGGTCTTAGAGGGAAGGTATGAAGCAGAGCAGGCGAGGGCTGGACAGCTTTGGAAACAGAGGTGGTGGGCTGCCATCCGGATCCTGCTGCAGGGTTTGGTTTATGCAACTGGTGGCAGACAAGCATTGTGTGCTCTCTATCTTTGGTTGATCTCTTCCCCACTTGAGAGCTTACTCTTCCCTTTGCCGTGTGCCTGAGCCAGAGATTCCCCACTGGAGGGCTCCTTGGCCGTGCTCCTGAGGATCTCTCCTGATGGGGATGTGGCTGGTCGTGTCGTGGAGAACGTCTGTGCTCTGGGATAGGCTTCGGGAGAGTTTCTGTGACTGAAACGACTTATGTTCATAATAGCACCTGCCAGCCAAGGCTCTCACAGTGAGTGCAGCAGTGGCTAATGCAAGACCAAGGCTGTCCTGGAAGTGAGGTGTATGGAGAGTGTCCATAGTGTGGTGGGGATGGACTTCCTTAATACATAATTACATTCTCTGTGTTTGGAACTCAGAGCCGTGTCCTCACACAGCTGATGTAAACTGGTGCAGATTCCTTGAAGTCCATGGAGCAATGCTGAGTGACACCAGCTGGGAAACTGGCTTTATTGTGCTGTTCTGGGAGCTGATTCAGAGGACATGCCCCAGGGGATGGGGCAATTAACGTTTGTTCATGGTGGTATCACTTGTGTCAAACAGTGTTGATAAAGGGTATTGATTTTTAAGGCCAGAAGGGACCACTGTAATCTTCTAGTCTGATCTCCTGTACAGCACGGGCCAGAGAAGTTCACCTGGTTATCCCTGCACTGAGTCGATCACAGGTGTTTGACAGAAGCATCTTCCAGAAAGGAGTCCAGTCTGGCTTCAGGGACACCAAGAGATGGAGAATCCACCACTTTCCTTGGGAGGTTGCTGTGGTGGTTAATCACCCTCATTGTTAAAAAATTTGTGCCTTGTTTCCAATTTGCCTTTGTCTGGCTTCAGCTTCCAGCTCTTGGTTCTTGCTCTGTCATTCCCTGTTAGAATCAAGAGTGTGTTAGGACCCAGTATTCTTTTCCTCAGGAAGGTAATTACACCCCGTGGTCCTACTACTGACAGGTGGACCTCTGGCTGTAATGTACACTGACCCTGCTTGGCCAACATGCTCTCTCTCTCTACTCCACAGACCATGCCCGTCAGATCACCAAATCCATGATGAGGAAGCCAACTGTGGACCGTCTGCTCGCCCACCGCGAATCTGACATTCAGAACTTTGTCAGCTTCATCACGAAAGACTCCATTCAAAAGTCTCTCCAGATGTACATGGAGATGCTAAAGCAGAGGAGAGGCTGAGGAAGCGTCCTGTCCTGACATGGGGTCGCTGGCCTGGAAGACTGAAGAGCCATATGCCAACCTGTGAACACCCTGAAATAGCCTTAGATTTTTAAAATGAAATATTTTTCTGTGTAATCGATCCGATTTATCCTGGCTGTCACCTTAGCCTCCTGTTTCTAGCCCTTTCACACTAGTGACCTGTCTTATGGTGCCTTATACTGATGCCTTCTTCCTGAAGGGCTACAGGAAATGTTTGATTGGATGATCCAAATAAATAAATGAGTGGTCAGCCCGTTGCTACTGTGAAATATCATCCACTGGCATGGCTGGGGTCTCCTGGCGCTCAGATATTTGCCTTCCAAAAAGCGTGAATGTTAAAAATGTGAATTGTCAATAAAATGTCTGGAAAGGAGGACAATTGAGAGAGGGACACTTTATTTTCCACATGGGCTGTGTCTGTCCATACTGGGCACTAACTAAACATTACCGCTCCTCCAGGCTGGGGAGTGTGACTGTAACAGCCAGGTGGTGTTAGGGGGCTTATTCCTTCACCCACTTACTTCCCTGGTCTTTCTCGCATGAACAGAGAGCAACAATACCCGAAGTCCAAAGGTGCAAACAATTCAATGTTTATTGGGGTGAACTTCCAGCAAGAATGATTCCAGTTTCCTTCCTTAGTGTCCCCCTTCCCAGCTCTGACACCACAGAGCCTTACACCTGTGTCCTTGTTCCCATTCCTGTCCTTAGCCAAACATGATTCCAATTTCCCCACCCCCATTCCCTGTTCCCATTTCCCTCTTCCCCACACCCACCCACCCCACTTCCTGATTGACTGCAGACTATATAGTAAAACTCGAGTTCTGCTTAGCTATATCTTAACCAATCATTTTCCTGAAATTTAACTAACCAGTCCTAACATATTGTAACATGATTATGTAACCAGTTATATCCCACCACCTTAATTAGTTTACACCCAGCAAAATTAATTATACAGCAGACAGGAACAATCACAGAACCAGACAGAGATTATACAGACAAACAATAGCAAAGTGGGAACTATAATGGCAAAACAATACAGAAGTGAGGATTTCACATCCCAGCTATTGATAAGTGAGTTCTTGCCAGACAGGATGCTATCAAACTAAGTTTCCTTTTACATCTTCTAGGCACTTCCCTTTCTCTGGAGGCGATAGGCACTATCAGGGCAGGATTGTATTCCTAACAGCCCAATAGCACCTTATTTCAATGTGACTAGGTTGGAATGTGAGGATGTGACCATTCGCTTCCCAGCTTATGGCTGCCTCTGTTGGTTAGCCAAAGGCCTTAGCCTAAGAACAGGACCTGGGACTGTCACAGTAAGAGAAGGACCTTACACCGGCAGACAGTGATTTTGATTCTTTCTTTTATACCTCTAACTAGCCAAGTGATAAGAATACACCTAAATTCTTAGAGTACAGGCCTTGACAGACAGACGCCTGAATATCTGTATCCTAACAGGTGGCTACAGGCAAAGGGGTCATTTCCCTTCACCTGAGGCCACAAGTTACAGTGTTTACACATACAGTAATTTTGGATAAGGAAACCCTGGGACCAAATGCATCCTTCCAGGCAAGTATTGTTTGGAAATCAGACTGCAGTTGGAATCCAGCTCAGGTTCATAGTAGCTGAAGGTCATTGTGCTCTGATAGATGGAGGGTGCTGCCAAGGGCTGAATGGGCCTGGTAGATTGAACCCCACTTACAACTGGGCTGCTGCAGAGCCAGGCTGTGATGGGTGGCAGATGGGCCTGCCAGCTGCTTGTATTGGCTGTCCTGTGACTTAGGACCTCAGGCATCAGGGCTGCCACGCCGGCATCTTTTGCTAACGTGGCATTGACTTAAACCCTGGCTGTACGAGGAGGGCTGGTTCGGCCAACGATGTTGTCCTGCAGGGATGGCCAATGCTGGTGCTGAGGGTCCTTTCGGGATGATAGTTACAGTTGGTGGGGCTGGGCAGCCACGCTCCACTGCTGCAGAGGGAGAGGATTCTGAGCAGGTGCTGGTGAAGGCAGCCTGGAGCTTCAGTGAGCCTTCAGCGTCACCTCTACCGGGAAATGGTCGCTGACAGCCAGGGCCTGCATGGGAACAGCAAGTGGGGACACAGTGTAACAGCTCCACCAGCTTAGATCCACCTGGCTACATGTGCAGCGGGTAACCTTCCCAGGGGCCTTTCCCTTGCCCAACCTCAAGACTGGCAATGTCCCCAGCTGGGTCTCAGAAAGGGTGAAGCTCTCCCTTAGCCTTACAGAGCTAGAACTGTCCCCAAGCTGGAGTTTTCTAGGGGAAGGGCCTGGCACCCTTGACTTTAAAGCTGTAGGTTTCTAGGGAGAGAAGAGCTCGTTTAGAGAAGTTTTAAATGCATGAGTTATTGTTTTCTTTATCCTTGGTGCCCTATATAGCTATGGACTCCTGGCCACTAAAGACACCTACCCACGAAGGGACGTAAAAAATAGTTCCCACCACCTTTGTGACAACCCTTGGATGCTGATGGAGTGCACACAGAGGAGGGTGGGAAGCTGTGGTTTATGGAGGTCATCAGTGACCTGTTTGCTTCATCACTTGTGAGTGCTACAGGCATCCAAAACTCCCAGTCATAAAGCCTTGAGAGCTCACCTTTTCCTGGCAGAGTTGCAGACATCCCTGTCATTTTTTCAAAATGTTTTATAAACGAGGATGCTTGGATCTGGCCAGAGGCCCTGTCTGGTTCTTAAGGATGTCCCTAGTATGACTGTCCCGCACAGCCAGGGGTCTACCCCGGAATTTAACAAGCAGGAAGAGCTTCGCTGTCTAAAGGAATTAAATGTTTGCTCTCAGTTTCAGCCCACCACACCTCGGCTTCCTCCAGTTTGAAAGCGTGTTGGAAATCATAGACATCAGCAGACTTGGGCTTGATGCTTTTCTTCAGCTTGGGGCCGCACACCACAATCCTGGAACATGACAACACAAGACTCGGGGTTAAACCCCTGCACTTTCCAGGGGCTTTCATTTCAGATTCAAACACAGCAAGGAAAAATCCCAACTCCGAGGATCTGGGGTTAGTATCAGTGCTGGGCTAGTCTTCAGCCCTTTTCCCCGACACCAAATGCCATCTGCCATTGTCTGTGCCAGGCCTCCGAGAGTGGGTCTCTGATGAAAAACAAGAGCTAAGACCTAGGCAAAGAAGCCCCCACCCAAGGCTTTCGCTGAAGCTCTCCTAGTTCAGCCACAAGAGGGAATGAAGGCACAGGCAGCAAGCAGAGTGCCCTGTGAGTCCTGAATCACAACTGCTCTGTGGATCCCCCAGACGGAGGATCGCCGTCAGCAGCTTCATTCACTCTCATGTCCTCTGTGCTGCGCTCATGTTGCCCACACGATCGGACTGCTGGCTTCAGCCAACGCTTCCCCCAGTAGGCATGCACGCACCCTCCCACACACAGCCATTCTCCTGACAGGCCAAAGTTACTCCACCTTTTCTGAGACTTGTTAATAGCCCACCAGGAAATACAGAGGGAACCCTTGGAAATCTCCTGCATCTGTAGGTGGGTCTCTGCCTGTGCCGGGAGCCGGGGTCTCTCCCTGCAGGGCCGGAGGAATGTTCAGGCCCCAGGGCTGCGCCATGCTTGCCAAGAGAGGCCTGCCCATTGTGACGCTCGGAAAGGCGGCGTCTCACCGGTCGTAGGCGCAGTCTGACTTCCCAATGGTGGTGTCTGCACTGTCAGGGATGAGCCACTCGAACACCTCGCTGGTGCGCAGGCGGATGGACCCCCAGTCCCCGTTCTTGACGTAGGAGCAGTCGGCGTTGAAGTCTCCAAGGAACATGATATTCTACAGAAGGAATGGCGTGAATGGGCTGTGTGTTCGGTACTGGCAGGCACTGGGACCGGGCATGAGAGAGACGCAGTCAGTGCCTGAGCACCCTTTGGACTGTGCGGTGAGGACTGAGTGAAAAGCAGAATTTGCATCCTGGGGAAAGGCTGAAATTTCACTGTTTGGTTTTGTCTTGAATTGGGACGAAAAGTCAAAATATCAAAGTTTTACCCAGAGTAGAAAGGTTTGATTTGGAAAGGTCTAAACCTTTTGTTTTGGGTCAGCTGTTAAAAGGCATGTGCCGAAGCTGCTGCATTGCCTCATGGGAGTTGTAGTCCAGGTGCCTTATGCCCCCATTCACCCACTGAGCCATGTTCCCTGACCAGACTACATCTCGAGGGGAGACTGTGGTGTATCATGGGAGATGTAGTCCATCCAGAGATCCCATGGGGAGAATGGGTAATGAGGCCCTGCTGCAGAATTGGCAGATGCTTCACTGCCAGACCTCCTCAAAATGAAATGTTTTGATGCCATTCAACAACCCTGTGCTTCGGGTCGACATGACCCTACATCAGATAGTTCGTTTCCCTTTTCCTGCAGGAAAATCAACATTTTTCCATAAACATTTTCCCCAAAGAAAATGTTGATTTTGCAGAAACCGCATTTTCCATCAAAAAGGCATTTTGCCAGCCACCAACCTCCCGGAGACGTGCTACTGATGCAGGACCAGGCACTAAGCACAGAGCTCTTACACTCTGCCAGCAGAGGCTGTCCCTGCAGGAGCAGCCACCTGGAATCAGGGGAGCTCCAAGTCTGTCCATAAACTGCCCGGTCCATGCCCCACAGAGCCAGGCCTGCAGGAGGTGGTGACGGCACGTGATCTGCGTCAGAGAAATGTGGGCATTTTCGTGGCATTTAGCCACCATCCCACAGAGCCGGAGACACAGACGGCTATTTACACTGGGGGTATGTCACGCTGCTGTCAGTGGAACTATGCCAGCATCACCCTGGAGTTGTCTGGGAGCACACTCCAGACCATGGAGCATCCCGGCCAGCTCCTCTGGGAATGAGATTTCAGCTGATTGCCTGTGCAGCTGGCTCCTTCCTAGCTAGCGTGGTGGCCCAGAGGCAGCAGCCGATGGACGCTGTGGGTTCCACAGGAACTGTAGAGTTAATACCAACCCAGCTCTAAGCAAGGGGGAGAGGGAGCTGGGTTCTCTAGCCTGGACGATGCAGGAGCTCAGACTGGATGGTCAGAACAGGCCCTTCTGGCCATAACAGCTGTGAATCTAAAGCCCCGTCGTACATTCACACAGGGCTAGGTTTGCACCCAGATACTTCTGCTTACGTCAGTCCCCCACTTGTCGATGACATCTAAGTAGACATCGTAGAGGGCGTCGATCTCTGCCACAGCCTCGCTGGGGGCCGTATGGAGGGGCACCAGCACGAACTCCTGCACCTCTGCCAGAGACACAAGTTACAGAGTGATCACACACATGCACACAGAGAGCCATCTCGCACAACACATGCAAAGCTCTCACAAACACACACAGTCATCACACACACAGCCATCTCATGCTCACACACACCCAACCATCACACACGTGCACACACCCAGCCAGCCATCTCTCTCTCTCACACACCCACACCCACACCCCCCAGCCATCGCACACACACACACACAGAGCCATCTCGCACACACGCAGAGCTTTCACACGCAGACACCCAGCCATCTCATACTCATACACACCCAGCCATCATACACACACTGAGCCAACACACGTGTGCACACACTCAGAGCCATCATATACATGCGTGCACACACACACACAGAGCCACCATACACACGTGCGTGAACACACACAGTCCTGAACCATAAGGTTTGTCCGTCAGCTTCAGTAACACCTCCAGTAGCACTGCCCTGGGGCGCCCTGACCTAGTGGGGACAAGAGTGCCCCCGCCCAGGGGACATGTTCAGCTCTCTCCCTTCGTCTATATCAGGGGTGGGAAAACTTTTCACCCAAGGGCCACATCTGGGTGGGGAAATTGCATGCAGGGCCATGAATGTAGAGCTGGAGCAGGGGGTTGGGGTGCGGGAGGGAGTGCAGGGTGTGGGAGGGGGTGTGGTATGCAGGGGCTCAGGGCAAGGGGTTGGGGTTCAGGAGGGGATGCAGAGTGCAGGAGGGGGCTCAGGGCAGGAGGTTGGGGGCTCAAGGCAGGAGGAGCTGTGGAGCGCAGGAGGGGGCTCAGGGCAGGGGGCTCAAGGCAGGGGGTTATGGGGCTTAGGGCAGGGGGTTGGAGTGCAGGGTGCAGGAGGGGTGCGGGCTCTGGCCCGGTGCTGCTTACCTTGAGCGGCTCTGGGGTGGCAGTGGCGTGCAGTGGGGCTAAAGCAGGCTGCCTGCCTGCCCTGGCCCTGTGCCGTTCCCGGAAGTGGCCAGCATGTCCAGCAGTGGCTCCTGGGGGTGGGCTGGGGCAGGCAGCTCCGCCACGCACTGCCCTCGCCTGCGGGTACCACCCCCGAAGCTCCCATTGACCACGGTTCCCCATTCCTGGGCAATGGGAGCTGCGGTGGGTGGTGCCTGTAGGCAAGGGCAGCGCACGGAGCCCTCTGCCCCCACCCCTGGGGCCACAGAGACTTGGGGCCAGCCGCTTCCAGGAGCAGTGCTGGGACAGGGCAGGCAGGGAGCCTGCTTAGCCCCGCTGTGCCATGGGGCTGGAAATCCCCACGGGCCGTAGTTTGCCCTCCCCTGGTCTACATCTATGAGTGTCCTGTCCCCTATTAGCCAACATAGCCAGAGCCCCATGCCCCCCTGGGTGGGTGAGAATGGGGAATCCAGGGTGGAGATCCGAGCATCTCGTCACATCCCTCCTGTGCAGCTCTCGCTATGCACATACACTGGGTTGTAGCTGAATGTGACTGCAGGGTTCAGTCCCCTGCGTACTGTATGAGCTGGTACCCTCGGACCCCCACAGCCACACTTCTCAGACGTAGCAGAGTCTCCCTGCCCTCCAGCACCAGGGCCTAAGCCCAGAGCAGGAGGGCCGGGTCCCTCCCTGCTGGAAGCAGTGACAATGCACCCGTCCTGGGGCCATGAATATGTCACCCCCTCAGCACAGCGCACAAGCCCACTCCTGCCCAGACATTCACTCTACTCGAGGATGTGGCTCGCCAGCCTGCTCCAGCTCAGTGGGGCTCACAGCTGCTCTGAGTCTCTGGTTGGTGACTTGAGCTTCAGGGTGCTGCAAACTGGGAGCAGGGCCCTGCATGGGGCTGGGCGGGGGTTGGGGTCACTCCTGCCAGTGGGCTCTGCTTACTCGAGTTGGGGGATGAGAACTTTACAATGAAGGGCTCCCGACTGAAGATGTTGCTTGGGTCTGGATACTGGTACGTGGCCACTACAGACACCGTCTGCTCCCTGGGGGGAAACAGCAGGGAGGGAAGAGAGTCAGTAAGAGGACAGGAAGGGGGCTCCAGCTGTTCATGCCAGAGGGTTTGGCTTGGTAGGAGCTCCCCACCCCTCAGTCCTGACCCACAGCCCCCTACTGTCCCAGCCCTGCGCTCCCCACCCACAGCTCTGCCAGCACCCCTCAATCCTGACCCACAGCCCCCTACCTTCCTAGCCCTGGGCTCCCCACCCACAGCTCTGCCGGTGCCCCTCAATCCCAGCCTGTAGCGTCCCCGTCCCCAGCTATTACAATGCAGCTTTGTCAGTACATCTCCAGCCTAACGGGTCACCAGAAGGCAGAGGTCTCATGCCCAGTGGATCACCTGCTGCTACAGCTCCTCAGTGCTGAGAGCTTCCTTGTCAACACAGGAGAAATTGGTCCTGAGGCAATGGGCCAGATCCTCAGCTGGTGTCGGTTGATATAGCTCCACGGCCCTTGACAGCGCTGCCCCCGTCAATACCAACTGTGGCTCTGGCCCATTGTTCATTCGTTCATTTGTTCAGCTGTTGGAACGCAGTGGGGTGGCCTGGGGGCAGCAGGGTCCCTTTGGTCCATGTCAGAGCTCCGTGCCAAGCCAGCCCCAGGGTGCTGAGAGCATCAGGCAGCAATGGTTCACTATAAGGTTTGTTCATGATGCTGTTGTCTGTTGTTTGACTCAGGGGTTTTAACACATCGGGACTGCTCGGATACAGCCCGATACCAATGTCCTCTAGAGCCATGATTCTCAACCTGTGGTCTGCGGACCCCTGGGGGTCCAGGGACTATGTCTAAGGGGTCCACAAAAGATTTAGCCTGAGACCCAGGTGAATGCCCAAGCTCCTGCAGATGCCCAAGGAGCGACAGAGCTACTGAGAGCCGCATAGGCTGAGGAGCCCAAATATCTTGGAGATGCCAGAACCATTGCACCTAGACAGCGTAGGAAGGAGCTCAGGGGGCATTAGTCAATGTGTTGGATGGTGTCAGTGTGTTTCAGATGGCAGTGTTCCTGCTGACTAAGTGGCAAACATACTTGGCACTGAGCGGGGACCCGATGGAGCAGGGAGGGACCAGGTCCCCCTACATGGTTGCCACCCACCCTGATGGTGGCCCATTCCCCTGACTGGCCATTAGGCCCCACAGGCCTGAAGGAGAGGGCAGTTATACTGACTCTGGCCGTTGGGCCATGCAGCCCTGAGGGAGGGCACTCATATTGATTTTTACCCCTAGGTTACGCTGTCCCAAGACAAGGGGTGATCGTACAAACTCAGCTGCGGGGAAATAACAACCCTCACCCTGCCCCAAGAGGGGATGCGGGGTGCTTGTCCCATGACACCCGCCAAGCAAATATCGTCCAGGCAGGAAATGCCGCATGTGGGACATGCTGCCCAACAGACGTGTTTAGAAGCATGTAAATACACAGCTACTGTGATGCAAAGGGCCTTAGCTCTGACCCCCAGATCCCAGCCCTCACTCCCCCTAGACCAAGAGATTGCCTTGTGCCCAAACACTGTGGCCCTCATTCTTGTTTAAACTAAGACCCCTCTACACCACGCTGCCAGCTTAAAAGGGGCCTGAGAGGAGGTGTGAAGGAGCCACTCTGTGTGGGGTCAGGAGCACCACAGATGCCGTGGGTCAGGTTCCCCAGGAGTTGCTGCTGATGTACACAGGGGGAGGCAAGCCAGGCCTGTCTCCAGGCTGGCAGCTGCTGATCCAGCCTCTTCCATGAGCGCTGTTACCTGTAAATGAAGAGGTACATCTCCTTGTAGTTCTCCCGACCCAGAGGCTCGCTGATCTCATAGCTGTACTGATGCTTCGACGCACTGCGGGGGGACACAAAGGAGAACAGCAGTGATGACCTCACAGGCTGGCCTCAGCTCTGAGCCTCCCACTCCAACAGTGTAAGTGGGGTGCCTCCAATGTACCCAGCGGGAGTGCCAAGGGAGCCAGGTCCTGTGCGTGGACCTGCCAGAAAAACACTTCCCGTCCCCCCCGAGCCATTCCCCGCTTTACTCTCCCTCTGCTCCCCTTTGCCCTGCTCTTTATATGGGGCAGAGGCGGGTCCTGGCACTAGTCACTTACATGGCACTCAGATCTTCTCCCTACAGACACCAGCTAATTAGCCAGCCCACAATGCTCCTTCGCCCTGTGCTCGCACCTTTCACCTGCTGATCTCCAGACTGCACTCTCTGTGCGCCCACTGACCACGGGAGCTGAAGGAGACTCTCTCGCTGTCGAGCCAAGGACACATGGTTACGTGCCATCTGCTGCTGCGCAGCGCATGAGTCCCTTCCTGACACTGACACAGCCCTATGCACAGATATGTGGCCCCGTCCAGCTGAGGATCTCGTGCTGACAAGGCTGGATTCGGCCTCCCAGACCCTGAAGCCTGGAGCCGGCCCCTTTGCCTGGTGACTGCTCTGTGGCCTCGTTTATCACTGTGAATTGTCTAATTTAAAATATGACCATGCAAATCATTGTTGCTACCACTGTTATATAATTGCAACAAATCTTATACAAAGTGTGATGTATGGCCAGAAAGGGTAAGGATCCTTCAGGATAAATGATACAGAGTCAACCATTAGAGACGTGTGAATGGTAATTAGGGCCACTCCATACTAGATAAGCTAGAACTTTGAAATGCAAACCTGTATTGTTAGAGAATTGGAGGTGATGGTAATTGTATGTGTGTACTTATATCTTGTAAATGTTAGCCATGTAAACAGACAGTTCCTGTCTGTCACTATAGCTATTGATTCAGAGATCCAAAGGGAATATTAACATTTAATTGAACTGTAAACATAGGAGTACTTGTGGCACCTTAGAGACTCTTTTTGCTAATACAGACTAACACGGCTACCACTCTGAAACCTGTAAACATAGGTTATCACTGTGTTCATCTCGCTTTGAAATTTATAGCAAATCACCTGAGAATGATGGAAAACGGGCAACTGCCTTATGTTAATCTGTGTAGATAATTACCAGCGATGCTTAGGAAATGGATCCACTTCAAAGTCCCCATGAGTGTCTATTGTTCACCTAAGACTCTGAGCTATCACAAGAAGGCCTGAAACTGTATAAAGATGCCTTGGGTCCCAATCCTTTTTATCTCTGACGTGCTTGATGCTTCATGCAGGGGAAGCTTAAGTCATAAGACTGAGATCCCAGTCCTAAGCTGGAACACCCTGAATATAAACATTGAACTATAACCTATGAACTAATTCTGAAAGAACTCTTTACAACTACAAATACTCTCTCTTTTCTTTTTTTAAAAAAAATTGAGTTTATAATAAGAATTGGCTGTAGTGTGTATTTGGTAAGATCTGAAATATTCATTAACCTGGGAGGTAATGTGTCCGATCCTTTGGGATTGGTAGATCTTTCTTATATGATGAATAAGATTTTCAGTAATCTTCATCATATCTTACTTGGGTTTCTGGGTGGAGGCCTGAGACTGGGTTGCTTTAAGGGAACTGTGTTATTGACTCCTGGGTAACCAGTGAGATATTATAGAAGCAGTTTTGTGCTGGTTTGGTAAATCTAAGTATTGGAATATCCCCCAGCTTTGGGGATTGTCTGTCCCATTCTTTGCAGTTCACCCTAACTGAGTGACCTCCGTTGGATTCGGTCACAATCACTAATGGGGACTGAGACATGTCCCTGCCACCTACTCCGGAGGTTACCTGTTGAGCTGGTCTAGGAGGTTGGTCACGGCGCTGAGATCGGCATCCCGCACCTCCTGCACCAGGGCGATGTCGTACCGCGACAGGATCTGCGGGCGGCATGGGGGCAGTTGTCAGCGCACAGCTGGGAGCAAACGGCAGGGAGGGCTGGAGGGGCAGCTCTGTTCCCTGCCCTGACGTGCACTGGCTGTGGGCTGGGTGCAGAGCGCTGGGCCCTGCGGTCAGTGGACACCGGCATGGTGCGATACACAGCCCCAGAGAGGGACGAAGGCGGCTCCAGTGCCACTCGAATTGTACGTGTGCAATGGGCCAGCCTCACGGACAGCGCTGGAACCCCACTGAGGGACAGATGGAGCCCCCCGACTCTGCAATCTGGGGAATCAAGGTAGTAGCTGGTGCCTGTGCCCTGCCAGGCTCTCCAGAGCACGGAGTGGGGAAGGGACTTGCCTGAGGTCACAGAACAGTGAAGAGCCTCTTGACGCACAGCCACAGCGTCCCCTCAGAGCTAAGAGACAAGGAGGGGGCACCGTGCAGCAAAAGTCAGGTCCTGCTCCAGCGGCCTGTGGCCTGGGTCACAGCGGATCCTGTCTCTACCTGGGCCGGCTCCACACACCAGAACCCAGCCTCCGTGTAGGAGCACAGAGCACTGCAGTCAGGAGTCCCGGCCCAGATTTGGCCTGGGTTGGGCCCATCTCTCTGGCTTCCCACGGAGGTGAGCGCAGGAATGGCGGTGCCTCTCTTCTGGCTCGAAAGCTGCACCCTTTCCAGAGAGGAGGCAGCTGAGCCTGCCTGTCATGCTATAGGACTGCAAACAGCCCTGGGCAGGGTGCAATTGCAGTGCACCCAGCCAGCCCACAGCCCGGGCACCTCCTGGCTCAGTGCTATTTGGATTCCCCGGTGTTCAGAGCCGGGGACGCCTTGTTGGTGGGTCTCTTTTCTCCTAGCCGTGAGGGGGGCAGGGAGGCAGAGGGGCCGTGTCTGCAGGCCATGGGCTGGGTTTGGCACCAGAGGAATGGCCGGGCCAGCCAACCCTGCAGCCGCTGAGCTGGCTTGGGCTCTGAGCAAGGGCACTTGGAAAGGCCCATCCCGCTGCCAGGCTGGGGTGGCCCTGGCAACCTCCAGCCATTTCCTAGGGTGACTAGCTGAGTGGCATCTGTCCCGGTGTGAGGGAGGAATGGGGGAGGGGCGCACCGGGCTCAGGGAGGTGCCAATGTCCCTGGCTGCTGAGCCCCGGCATCCCCGGCCTCTTTTCTTCCCTGCCACTCAGGGGCGAAAGGGAGCCGGTAGGGGCCGGTACGGCGTACCGGTAAGAACCGCACTGGCCCGTACCCAGCCCACATCAAAGCGCTGCCACGGCAGCGGTTTAACATCCCTGCCCCTTTTGCCTCCCACGTCGGGGGCCCGGCTGGTCGGGTCCGGACCGGCCGGGCCACCGATGGGGAAGGGGCAGCAACGTTAAAGCGCTGCCGCGGCAAAGGACCCTGCGGCGCTTTAACGTTCCTGCCCTGTTTGCTCCCCCAGCCGTCGCACTAGGCCCAACTGTCCTTGGCCCCCCTCTCCCGCCTGGAGGCACTCGCAGCAGCTCTGCGTACTAGGCCCAAGTGTCCTTGGCCCCCCCGCCTGGAGGCACACACAGCAGTTATGCTGAGGATCTGCAACAATATGTTGCAGAGTCAGACTGCCTGAAACTAAACAAGGCCAAACAGGGCAGATATGGAAGAACAATGCTGAATAAAGCTGCTTTATGTATAGTTTAACAAATGATACAAAAAACAAGGGAACTAGCTGGTAACTGGATTGGCTGGCTATATGGATACTTAGGGCAGCTTGCTATTGGATAAGTATGCTGAAGAAAGGATGTATAAAAGCCTGTGTAACTTCCTGCTCTGGGTGCAGGATCTGAGATTCTATTCTCCCTGTACCTTTTTGCAGCTGCAAATAAACTTTTCTGCTTCTCCACCCCGTTGTGATTATTGGGTGAAGCACACCGGGTAGCAAACCAACCTCTGCTGTTGTTTTGCCTCTCGGCACTGGGTGCCGGCAACAGCCCCTTTAACGGGCTAGAACCAAGCAAGGCCCTGGGATACCAGCTCCCTGCCTGTCTCCAGCGGGAGATCCCGGATCCCAGCAGCCGCTCTGCCTCATCTGCCCTGAACGACCCCCCAGCAGGGCAAGTGTCACCAGTGGAGCCTGCCCGGAGTAAATGGGAGGTCCCCACTGCCCTGCCCTGGCAGCGAGTTCCCCCCGTTACCTAGCATCATTCACACCAGGTGTGAATGATGACACACGGGGCAGGGGCAGGGACTGTAGGGGCTGCCCATCCCAGCCACTAGCCTGACTAATGTGTCCTCCTCTGCCAGTGGGGAGCTGGTGAGGGCCACCAACCCCCCGCACCCCCCGCGGAGACCATGCCCTGGGTGAGTGGGGCGTAGGGTGACCAGGCAGCAAGTGTGAAAAATGGGGCCGGGGGTGGGGGTAATAGGCACCTACATAAGAAAGCTGCAAATATCAGGACTGTTCCTATAAAATTGGGACATTTGGTCATCCTAGGGCGGGGGGAGCTGAGTCCCAAGGCAGCAGGGTGTGGGGAGTGAGTGTGATCAGCCTGAATCCACACCCATTCCCCAGCAGAGAGTGACCCCCTGAATGAACCCCCAATCCTCTGGACAGTGGGTACCGATCCCCTTTCTGCCCCTGGGACGTGCCTGCTGTCATCCCCGAGATGGGGCCCTTTTAAAACTTTGCGAACACAAACCATCCCTGGTTGCTGCTGAGTTCCTGAGCTGGCCCCAGAGCCAGCACCACCAAGCCGCAACCCCAGGCAGCCTGGAGCACTCACTTTCACAATGATGCCCGCGGTTGTCTCGTCAGACAGCTTGCTGTCTCCAAAGTTCTTGATGTTGAAAGCACAGATTCTCAGCGCGGCGGCTGTGCACAGCAGGTAGGCCAGGGACAGCAAGGCCAGTGCCAGCCTCGTGGCCCCCATCCTGCAGGCAAGAAGGGACACAGCGTCTGTAGGGATCAGTGGAGAGGTTAGTGTATTGGCAAGGAGCAGGATGCCGCCTGTGGGTGCTGGCTGGGCTGGAATGATGGGGCGGGGGGTGGCTTGTGATGTGCACAGCCTACTGGCAGAGGAGGCATGTACCAATCCTCACTAAACTAAACTGCACCTGTCACAACCCTCCAGGAAATCGGTCAATGTCATTATCCCTAATTTGCACATAAGGAAATTAAGGCAAAGAAAGGGGAAGGGACTTGCCCAACGTTACCCAGTGAACCAGCAACAGAGCTGGGAAAAGAACTCAGGAGTCCTGGCTCCCAGTCACCTGTTTTAGCCCCTAGAAACAGTCTCTAAAGCTACCACAGGTATGGGGCAGCCTTTCTGTATGTTCCCTTCATTAACCCTGCGTGCCTGTATATCTGAAAATAGTGCAGAGCAAGTGATTGCATTAAACAGCCCTGAAGCTGGAGCATTAATGTGAACTTGCACACAGAAGGATGAGAGAAGCTGGGACAGGGAACAAGCTGCTAGTCAGCTCTGTTGGTGCTCATGTTGGCTACAGATCCACTAATCCTCAAAGCTGGGAACCCTCCCACTTCTTCCCCACTCACGCGCATGTCCCCTTTACTTCCCCAAAAGGGGAATGGACAGTTGCAATTTCTTCAACATTGTAGCAGGCATGGCTGGTTCAGGAATTGGAGGATCCCATACCACTAAGATGACAGATTTGTATGCTGTCTGCATGTCACAGATTGTTGGAGTGTCTGCTATAGGGGTTGCTAAGTCATTCGACCCTGCATTTGTAGGGTTAATTGCTAAAACGGGGGGGTTGACTGCAAAGACAGGGGTGCTCACTCTATAAGTGAAAAAAATGTACTGCTTTCTTCCCCGACCACTTTGTTTTAGCTTTTTAGAGTTAATTTGTGTGTTATATCAATTAAACTTTTTCAAACATTTATACACAGCATACATTCTAATATCCCAATACATTTTTAAACATAGTATAAAGGAAAATAATATAACAATTAAATAAAATATAACCCCTTTGAGTTTATGTAAACCCTCTGAGGATAATAAATTTTTATTGACTGCTTATCCTTGGGAGATACAGGTAGAAACCTTTTGAATGTTTGTTTTTTTCAGCTTTAACATTTTGCAATGTTGTTTAGGGTTTAACAATTCAATGAGGTTTGCCCAGGATAGAGACACAGGGTTGGTGGACACCCAGCTGTAGTAAGGAATTCATGCTTTCAGCTGCATATGGATTCTATTGGGATAGGACCTGGAACAGTAACCATGACAGGCATTATTTCACAGTCATGTTTATGCTGAGCAAGGCTGGGGCTCTTGCTTCAACCCCAGGTTGTACAATATCCTGAAAAGAGTGAGTTTATTATAAAGACCTGACAGATCGTAACAGGCAGCCTTTTGAACTGCTGCAGTGATATGGCAATCAGTTACTGTTACATACAGGGTCATTTCCTGCCACAGACCAACCAGTTGCTACACACAAAGATGGTTAGTTAACTCAACAATGCAGCCCTGGTAAACCATACAGTCAGAACCCAGGATATTCCATGGTTCCGATAAACAGGTTAGAACAAAGCAGTGGAGCCAAATCACCATGATCTCGGGAAGCAGTTCAGAAAGAACAGAGGAAACAGGGTTACTTACAAAAGTTTCAGAAGTGAAACGTTTTCCAGAGGAGATGGGGAGAAATGAGGGTTGTCTTCACAGAGGATAAAAATAACAACTTCTGTATCTATTAACTTATTAAACCAACAACATTTAACTAATAGCCCACATGACCAATAAGCAAGCAACAAAGCATTCTATACATATGCTTAATACTTCAATTTACCTCCTTTTACTTTTTCTCCTATCCTCTTCACCCCCTGCACTTTTTTGCAGGTTAGAAGGGTGGTGAATAGGGTTTTGTTTCCACCTGTTTGCATTTACTAATTTCGTTTTGACATTTACATCAGGCATCGCCTTGTTTAAAGGGGCATCTATTTCAAAGGCATGGTGTCATTGCTACAACAAAGCCAGCTGATATTAGTTACATGTGTTCTGCTTCAGAGTCCAAGCTCCATTGTTTAAATATAAAACAAAGGTTTGAGGACTTCAAAAATTAATTGCTTTGTTTGACATTTGTCATGTTTTAGGACCGGCGTCCATGGGCAACAATTCTTAATGCCCATTAAACCAAATCCTTGGTTAAAAGCAGTTCTGCTTGTCTAGTTATTTTTTCACAGACAAAACCATTTAACAGTGCCTGCCAGGAAAGGCAATTCCTCTTTATCTTTGTACAGCAACATGTTGGCTGCTGGCCCCAGAGTCCAAGTGATGTTGCTGCCTTTTGCTTTTCAGGGTCCCCTGTCAGCTTTTCGACTTGGAACTAAAAATCATAACTTAAAGGCACAGCAACAATTGAGGACTTAATACCTTTAACTTTAAATTATCCCAGGAATTACTTGACATATTTTTACTTTAACAAGGCTAACTTGTCTCACCTTTACCATTACATGTTCAAAATAAAAAATTTTAGCTCTTTAATTATTGAAGCAAATGGATTTTTAGCAGAATCCTTTGAAAGCCAATTTATTTGACACATACATTTCACATACACCTTCCTTTTTAAATAGGGTTCTATTGACAGAGAGTGTTCATTTAGGTCCTTTAAACCTTTCACAATCGCACAACTTGATTGCATCTCTTGTTAAGCACCTTTTGCTTAAACTTTGAATTAATTTGAATTAATGAATGGAGCCGTTTTTTCCACTCCCTTAATTCAGGCTCATGTGAGTCCATGGACACGCACACCCATGCCCCCAGGAAATGGGGTGAGAGGCATCAATCACACCAATATGCCAATTTTCAAAAGCATTTTATGGCTCATTCAAATTTCCAAATCATGCAGTTGCGTAGTAGCAATTTTTACCTGCTTTGTAGCCAATAGCCAACTATATCGTTTGGGTCAGTCTAAAATTTGCTACAATCATAGTGCTTTCCTTTTTAAACTAGCAATTTTGGTTGCTTTAGGGTTAACATTACAATTTCCTTTTAGGGGTGTCGTCTGGATCTACCATCAGGCTGATTTGATCTTTATTCCAAACTGGTAATTTCCCCAGATAATTTCTCTCATTTAGGTTCTTCTCAGTTTCTCCTTCAGGACAACCACCCACAATTACCTTGTAGATCACTGGTGTTTCTTGGACCTGTGTAGCTGCAATTTTTCTTTCACCTAATGAGCACCTGAGTCTGTTTGTGTCTGTGGTTAATTCTTGCATCTTTTCCTTCCCTTGCTCATTTACTTTTCTTAGCATTCTACACTCCTCAGCTCTCTCACTCAGTGCTGCAGTTTGTCCCCTTCAATCATGAACCTGCTCTCTCAAGTCCTCCTGTTCCTTCCAGCACTTAACACGAATCCCCGGGACACCCTACCTTGCCACAATGAATTGCTCCTGTGCCACCTGGGAAGCACATCTCAACTCCTTAGGTTCTTTGTGCCAACTTAACTTCCTTACACTCATCTCACCACAATCAATCTGACATTTCCTGAGCTTTCCTTGTGGCCATTCCGAGCCAGAATTTACACTATTCATATTCTGAAGCAGCATTTTTAGTTCCCCACTTTGCTCCCTCTCTTAACTCCTTAACCTTGGGTGTCTTCTCAGCTTTCGAACCAAGCCATGAACACACATGACCCCACGGATCGGTCTTAGATCGGATTAGGTGCACTGCGGTGTGCTAGACCAGGGATGGGCAAACTTTTTGGCCCGAGGGCCATATCTGGGTATGGAAATTGTATGTGGCGGGCCATGAATGCTCACAGATTGGGGATCGGGGGCGGGGTGAGGGCTCTGGCTGGGGGTGCGGGCTTTGGGGTGGGGCTGGGGATGAGAGGTTGGGGATGCAGGAGGGTGCTCTGGGCTGGGACCGAGGGGTTCAGAGGGCAGGAGGGGAATCATGGCTGGGGCAGGGGGTTGGGGCGTAGGGCGGGGTGAGGGGTGCAGGCTCCGGGTAGCTACCTCAAGTAGCTCCTGGAAGCAACAGCATGTCCCCCCTCTGGCTCCTACATGGAGGCGTAGCCAGGCGGCTCTGCATGCTGCCCCATCGGCGGGTGCTACCCCTGCAGCTCCCATTGGCCGCGGTTCCTGGCCAATGGGAGCTGCAGGGGCGTGCTTGTGGCAGGGGAAGTGTGCAGAGCCCCCATGCTGCCCCTAAGCATAGGGGCTGGAGGGGGGACATGCTGCTGCTTGCAGGAGCCGCACGGAGCAGGGCAAGCCCTCAACACTGCTCCCCAGCTGGAGCGCTGGAGTAGGGCAAGCCCCAGACCCCGCTCCCCAGCGGGAGCTCAAGGGCTGAATTAAAACGTCTGAAGGGCCGGATGCGGCCCCCAGGCCGTAGTTTGCCCACCCCCGTGCTAAATAGCTGGACTTGTGATAGTCACAGCTGAGCTCTCCACTGCCACTATACTAGGCCGAGCATTCCTGTCATATCAGACCAAACACTACTGCCTGTCAAGGTGCCCGTCTGGGCCACCAATTCGTTACCAACAATGGTTGTAGTAAGGTTCAAATTTATTCAGTGATTAAAGAGACCTTCGCATCAGTCAGCTTGATTGGGTTTATTAATAATTAGTTAACTAGACAGCAGAAAGACTAAGAGTATAGTTACCACCGTCTGTGCGCTCGATTCTACAGCTGGTGACAGGTTCCTCGCTCTGTCTGGTTCTGCAATTTGCTTGTACCTGGTTGGTACTTATAGGCAGGTTGTTTACAAACCCATTAGTTCCTCTTTCCACAGGCTGGAGGAAAACATATCTTGTTTCTGGTACATTTCCTTAAGTTCCATGTCCCTGATTTGGACATCTGCCGCTTCCTCTCAGTCTATGGTATTTATGCTATAGAGGGTACTGCTGATTGTGGTGTAACCTTGCTTGTGAAATCAGAATGACAGAGAGCTGTGTTAAGGGTTATGGCGTCTTTCTCCTCTTTTCAGCCATTTGGTCTTTTTTCCCTTTGTAGAGTGACTCTCGAGGCGGCACGGGGAGGGCGGCCTCATAGCCCAGCAATCGGCCTGGACGAGCCTGGTTCACAGGTCAGCGGGAGGGAGGGTTGGCGTGAACTTGCCCCCAGGACGATGAGAGAAGCTGGGACAGGGAGCAAAGCTGCCCAGTATCAGGCAGGCTCCATGCAGGCCCCTGGAACAAACGCTCCATAGCTGAGCTTTGCAGCCTGGACTCATCTCTGCTGACTGCCCTGGACCAGCCAGTCACCTCTGTTGGGGCTCATGTTGCCTACAGGTCTCCTTGGTCTACCCTCCCACTTCCTCCCCTTTCCCATACACTTTTCCCCTTTGGCCTCCCTACAGTCACCTCCCAGAGTTCTGCACCAGGCAGCCCTGCCCCAGGTGGGGAAGGCTAGGCCTGGTGCCCTCCCTCCTGGAGCACTGTGCAGAGCGTGGCTAGCACAGTAATGCCAGGCACACCTGGGGCTGAGCATGCTGCATCCACACAGCTCTCCTTCCCTCCAGCGGGCAGCCGGGCAGCGGCCCACAGGCTCTCTGTCTGATGTGCTCTAAAGCTAAGTGCTGCTCCGGACAGTTCCCCTGAAAAGATCAGGGTCTGCACGGCTTAGCTTGAGCCTCTGGGACCATTTGCAAAGGTCCTTGTGGCCCATAAGAACTCAATCAGCTCCAGGGTAGCACAACCAAGGGCAATGTCCTGGCTTCTCCTAAGGTGTTAGATAGCCCACTTGTTAGTGATCTGCAGTGGGGTCTGTAAGGAACCCACAGGGAGAAGGAGACTGTAGGGTCTAGAGGCTGACCCACTGTCAAGGTTCCTTCCCCACTCTGAACTCTAAGGTACAGATGTGGGGACCTGCATGAAAGACCCCCTAAGCTTATTTTTACCAGCTTAGGTTAAAAACTTCCCCAAGGTACAAACTTTGCCTTGTCATTGAACAGTATGCTGCCACCACCAAGCGTGTTAAACAAAGAACAGGGAAAGAGACCACTTGGAGATGTCTTCCCCCAAAATATCCCCTCAAGCTCTACACCCCCTTTCCTGGAGAAGGCTTGATAATAATCCTCACCAATTTGTACAGGTGAACACAGACCCAAACCCTTGGAGCTTAAGAACAATGAAAAATCAATCCAGTTCTTAAAAGAAGAATTTTAATTAAAGAAAAGGTAAAAGAATCACCTCTGTAAAATCAGGGTGGTAAATACCTTACAGGGTAATCAGATTCAAAACATAGAGAATCCCTCTAGGCAAAATCTTAAGTTACAAAAAGACACAAAAACAGGAATATACATTCCATCCAGCAAAGCTTATTTTACCAGCCATTAAACAAAAGGAAATCTAACGCATGTTCTAGCTAGATTACTTACTAACTAACAGAACTTCTGAGACTGCATTCTTGATCTGTTCCCAGCAAAAGCATCACACAGACTTACGAACCCTTTGTTTCCCTCCCTCCCGATTTGAAAATATCTTGTCTCCTCATTGGTCATTTTGGTCAGGTGCCAGCGAGGTTATCTTAGCTTCTTAACCCTTTACAGGTGAAAGGGTTTTGCCTCTGGCCAGGAGGGATTTTATAGCACTGTATACAGAAAGGTGGTTACCCTTCCCTTTAATTTTATGACACCCACCATCTCCGCTGTAACGCCAGTCTCCACCAGGCCCTCCTACGGGCTAACAGGCAGCGCTAAGGGATGGCTCTGCTTGAAGGTGGGCAGTCATCACTCTCTGGGAGTATCTCTGGGGAGTGTCCCTGGCATGTGGTCTCTGCTTAAAGCAGAACCGAGAGACCTCTGCCCCTTGGCTCTCACCTATGGTTGAGGGTGTGAATCTAATCACCAAATTCCTCCTGGTGTTTCGTGCTTGGAGTCTCCTGATGGGTTACAGGACAGCCCACAACATGCCGCTGATTCATCTGCCCACAGAGCAGTGGTTCTCAACCTTTCCAGACTACTATGCCCTTTCAGGAGGCTGATTTGTCTTGCATACCCCAAGTTTCACCTCACTTAAAAATGACTTGCTTATACAATCAGACATAACAATACAGAAGTGTCCCAGCACACTATTACTGACAAATTGCCGACTTTCTCATTTTTACCATGTAATTATAAAATAAATCAATTGGAATATAAATATTGTACTTACATTTCAGTGTATAGTATATAGAGCAGTACAAATAAGTCATAGTCTGAATGAAATTTTGGTTTGTACTGACTTCGCTAGTGCTTTTTATGTAGCCTGTTGTAAAACTAGGCAAGTATCTAGATGAGTTGATGTACCCCCTGAAAGACCTTTGCATACCCCCACAGGTATGCGTCCTTCTGGTTGAGAAGCACTGTCATAGAGCACCTCCTGAAAAACACTCCCGGAACCCATAGGAAGGGTTCTTGCTATAACAACTGCCAGCTCCCAGAATTTGTCCAGTGTGATATGATTCTGTGCTGCTGATGCCATTAGTCTGTAAGCTCTCAAAGGAAGGAATACCTTCCTTCCACACATGGTATCTACTCAAAGGCACCACACAGAACTACGCTACTCTGAGCAGCCACGAGCTTTTTCTGCACCCAGCAAGATCCAAGGCGAGCTCTCCCTTTCCCTTCAGGTTTTACTCTCAGACAGTCTGTCCGTAGCAGGGACACTGGATGGGGATCTCTAGGCAGCCTCCATCTTCTCTCTTGCAAATGTCTCCAGCTGAATGTGCATTATCCCCCAATGCCTTCTCCACATTTTTAATTTCTGATCCCACCTCCCTATTGTGGGTTGGGTTTGGGGCTTTTTAAGTGTCTATCGCAAATCCCAATGCTCAGGTCTCGGCCTTGATCCACAGTAATTTTGCCTTGCTTTTGTGTCCCGCAAAACTTTCATCTGATCTGACTCCAAATCTTCTGGGACTTTCATGGCTGATCCCACCCAGTCATGCTGATCTCTGCTAATAACAATACACCTCACCTTCAAAAGTGCAGACAAACCTCTGCCTTTGTTAACAGCCCAGCCCAAAGCTACAAAGATAATTTTGCCTGTGAAAAATAAAAAGAAGAGGCATGCTTTAAAAAGAGAGGCTAGCTCTTACTCTGTAAGCAGCTCCCAGGCATGGGTCTGGAGGGAGAATTTGCAGGAAGCTGCTCTGCTCTCCTGACTGATAACGCGCGGCCCACAATTCTCCTGCTCCGACTTCCCTGGCAGGAGCACAGACAGGAGTCCTGGTAGAACGAGATGGACCCTTCGGTGCACGTTTTGGCTCTGAACTGATGCTTCTCTGTGGACAGGGAAGCAAACACTCATCCCTGGGAAGGGTGGGGCTGCTTTAGTGAGTTCTCTCTTACAATAGAATTAAATAAAGAAGTGCTCAAGGGGAAAACCAATTCATTGCCTAATCAGGAGCAGCTAATTTAGTTCGGGAGTGGCACGGAACCACGAAAACAATGCAAGACAAGAGCAGCAGGACGATCCCTAGCCAGGCAGAGTGAAGAGACCTGCTTGCTCATGGTGTTTGTCATAGTATTGTGGGAACACAAGCTCTGTGCATGGCCATCCTTTCCAGATCAAAGGGAAGGGGCATCAGCTTGCTGGCTCCCAGCTGGCCAATGGTCCCTAGTGGGCTGCAAAATAGACAAGCAAGGAGGAGAAGGGAAACTGTGGCTTAAATCTACTAGTGTGGGGGCAAATCTTAAAGGTCTTATTCAGCTTTTACTGAGCCCTTCGCCAGCAGTCACCTTGGCATCATAAGGCTGCAGTGACACTTGGGCAGAGGGTTCTTACTATAGAGGGTTCTTGCTCGGGCATTGACTTTTGTGAAAACAAACTTCCCCAGCAAAGCAGGAGACAGGATTGTTTTGAGACACCAGGTGGAGCAGGATTGATGTATTGACACACCCAAGCACTGTGGCCAGGGACTGGGGACATGGAGGGGGACCTGGAAGAGACACTGTGATCTGGGGAGTCCAGTGAAAGCTGGGGATGAGTCTCATCACTAGGACATCCATGGGGTCTGGTCACTATAGGAGAGAGGGAGAGTGTAACAGGATGGCTTGCTGGGGGATGGCACTGGGATGGCCATGCCAGAGAGCTGTGGCAAGGCATGGCAATGAAGAGTGTGGCAGAGGTGTCGATTTTGTGATTTCCCCAAGAGTGCTTGACCTCCTCCCCAGGTCCCACCCCCACTCCACCCCTTCCCCCAGGGCCCAGCCTCCCTCCACCCCTCCTCTTCCCATCCCATTCCACCCCATCCCCTCCCCCGCACTTCCTGCATGCTGCTGAACAGCTGATCACCGGCGGGTGGGAGGCGCTGGGAGGGAGGGGAAGGAACTGATTGGTGGGGCTTCTGGTGGGTGCTGAGCACCCACTCTTTTGGGGAGGGGTTCCACCCCCAGACCACCCACGGAGTCAGCACCTATGGAGTGTGGTGAAATTCTCTGAATGAAGATACAGAGAGTGGAAAACAAAGGGGACCACAGGCCCAGAGCGGAGGAAAGTGAGAAGGAAACACTCCTGTGGCCAATCTGGGGGTGGCCCAAACCACAAGAACCTACTGTTGGGGTATCAGCTACCCCACAATCTGCTGGGAACAAGTCCATAAGCACGGATCACCATGGCAGTCCTGAGGCTGCAGAGACGATAACGAGCCACTCCTTGACACAGCAGTTCCGTAGCTCTCCTCTCAGTAAGGAGATGAGGTCATTTTGGCTCGCTGCAGCACTCGACTGGGTTGTGTTGACCCCTCAGAGTGGCTTTC